TAAAGCAAAATTGCAACTTGGCTAAACATCTGCACAAATTCAAAATCTGCAACTTGGCTAAACATCTGACACAATTCAGCAAAATCTGCAACAAGGCTAAACATCTGCCCAAATTCAAAATCTGCAAGTTGGCTAAACATCTGCACTGCTGAATCTACAACTTGGCTTATTTCACACAACAACACTTCACTGGTCAAGACTAACAACACTCAGCTTCAACAATTTCTGCTTTATCACACAGCAACACTTCAATGGTCAAGACTAACAACACTCAGCTTCTGTCTTAATGCATTAAATTGAGCAGAGAAAGAGCTTTATCTCACACAGCAACACTTCACTGGTCAAGACTAACAACACTCAGCTTCAACAATTTCTGCTATCTCACACGGTAGCAATTCACTGAACACGGCTAACAACACTCAGCTTCAACTATTTATGCTTCATCCACATATAGCACTTCATGGTCAAGGCTAACAACACTTAATTCTGTCTTAATGCATTAAATTGAGCAGATGAAAGAGCTTTGGTAAGAACATCAACTATTTGAAGTTGGATGGAAACTATTGAATACAACCTTTTAGCTAGAACTTGATCTCTAATATATGAGCATCAATTTCTATGTGTTTTGTCCGGGCATGGAACACGGGATTGGGGCTAATGCTGCTGCACAACGTTATTACACCATATAAAGGAATGGTGTGAAAAGTCAGGCCAAGTTAAAAAAACATGCTCTGCAGCCACGCAAATTCAGTGGCAGTGTTAAACATGCTCTATATTCTGCCTCCGTGGAAGAAAGCACAACAACCTTCTGTTTTCGAGAGCTCCACTGTATTAAGTTTGGTCCTAAATAGACACAAATGCCACAGGAGACCACCTATCTTAGATTGCCTCCCCAATCGGCATTTGAGTAACATTCTACAGTTAAAGAACATGTGGTTTGAATTGTAAACCATAGTGAATGGTACCTTTAATGTATGAGCACCCTTTTACAAGCTTGCCATTGGAGCTCTGTTGGAGCTTGAAGAAATTGACTTAACCGATTGACGGTGTGAAACTGATATCAGGCCTGGTGAGAGTCAAATATTGCAATGCACCTATAGTGCTCCTATAAAGACTTGGATTAGAAAATAGCTCACTATCAGTAGAATATAACTTTTTACCAACAGCCATAGGAGTGGCACAAGAATTTGCTTCCAACATTCGGTTTAACTAAAAGATCTGATGCAATTTAGCTTGCTTGAGGTGAATTCCAGTGGCAGTCCTTGTAGCTTCAAACTAAGAAATATTGAGGGAACCAAGTGTTTTCAAGGCACAATGAGCATTCAAATCAGTCAGTAGCTGAGCAATAAAATCAGTATCTGATCCAGTAATTAAATGTCGTCCACATAGACTAGAACATAAATCAAACCAGAAGGTTGCTTGAGAGTGGAACAGACTAGAATCTGAGACTGAATTGGTGAAGCCTTTAAGTTGAGGGCAGCCTTGAGTTTGTCAAACCAAGCTCTGGAGCTTGTTTAAGGCATATAAGGCTTTATTCAATTTACATACAGTAGCAGGTTGTGAAGGACTTTAAAGCCAGGTGGTTGTTTCATGTACACACGTTACGTAGGACACCATTGAGAAAAGCATTATTAACGTCTATTTGCTGAATATTCCAATTATGTGTCACAGCTAGAGTGAGAATTATCCTTATAGTTGAAGGCTTGATGACGGGACTAAACGTCTCAAAGTAATCAAGACCAGGGGTTTGTTGAAACCCTTGGCAACAAGTCTAGCCTTATACTTCTGTAATGAGCCATCAGCATTAAATTTGTACGAAAAACCCTTGTTCCCAACTACATTCATGTCAGGAGAGGATGTAACCAGGGTCCATGTTTGGTTCTTGACAAGTGCATCTAATTCACTTTGGCATGGTTGCCTTCCAATTGGCACTAATGAGAGCTGCACCAATGGAGGTTGGTTCAGGTTCAACTGCATCACTTCCAGAGATTAGAAGGGCAGTATGTAGATTATGAAAGTGAAGAAGGTCTTCAAAACTGTGACCCTTGCGAAGATGAGCTACTTTGGCCCTGTGTACCATAGGGTGAACATTGGTTACTTCAGACTTCAATACTCTGTCATCTTCAAGAAGCTCTGAGGAGGTAAGTCCAATCAAGATTCAAGGCTAGAAAGTGGGAGGAGATTGTAACGGGTTGGTAGAGAGTGGAAATGTGTGAACTAGGTGAGGTAAGATCAACTCAAGGGACATGGCTGGGGAGAAGTATTAGTATGTGGAGGAGAAATTAAGGGCTGTTGAGAAATACATGGGTAGGTGTAGTGGAGAGAGTTGGGGTGATATTTGGTACGAGAGGTGAAGATTGAGCAGGTAAGGTGGTGAGGCAGAATTGAGACCAGCTGCTGTAGTATTAAGAGGACCATTTTCAAAAGAGCAATTTACTCCAGAGGGAACAGTATCAGCAAGGACCAGTATCATTAGTTAAAGGAGGTTGTTGAAGGGAGACAAAAGGAAAATATTTACAATGTGAATAGTTAGGTAGTGTAGTTTTGTTGAGTGAAGAACTAGAGGATGTATTAAAGCTTCCATCAGCAAAAGGAAAACTAACATCATCAAATTGAAAGTAGGTGTAATGACAATTTTTCCATCAGGTTTTAGACATTTTAAACCCTTGAACAAGACTATACCCAACAAAGACCACTTGACAGAATGAAAATCAAATTTATGCTATGAAAAGGCCTAAGATATGGAAAACATGAACAGCCAAAGACTTTCAAACTATCATAAGAGGAAATGCATTGAACAATTTTTGGTAAGGTGATATATGCCAATAGTGGCAGTGGGCATTCGATTAATGAGGAAGGCTACAGTCTCAAATGCAAGCCACAATAATGTAAGGGCATAGATGCAGGGCTAAGAGAGTAAGACCAGTCCCACAATGTGTCTATGTTCCTCTCACTTCTAACGTTTTGTTGGTGGACATGGGAATAAGAATATAACTTGAATGCCTTGATCACTTAGTATGGAAGAAGAGCTTATATTCTCCTCCTTGATCCGAATGTAAGCATTTTAACTTGCATTCAAATTGCCTTTCAGCAAGATGGTGAAATTTTATAAAAATAGACCTAACTTCAGCTTTGGTTTTTAGAGGAAACAGCCAAGTGAACCTGCTAAGTCATCTAAGAAGTGCACATAATATCTAAATCCTTCGGCTGAAGGAAATGGGCAGGACCATAATTCACTGTGTATTATCTGAAGTGGAGCTGTGGTTTGAGATTGGGACAAAGGAAAGCTATTTCTATGGAAATTTCAACTGGCAGGCTTCACAAATAGAAGAAGGAGTACAAGAGATGTTATTCAGGGGAGAGTAGTTTTTGTGTATGGCAGCCAAGATTCTGTTTGAGTGGCTGAATGGGGATGTCCTAATCGTTTGTGCCAGGTTAAGTAGTTATTCTGATGTGTATTAACAGTATAACCACAATGAATGTTTAAGAGAGAACAAGCATCAGAATCAGCATTACAATCATTACTTTTGCAAACATACTTGAAGTAACATTACAAGGATTGGTTGTAGAAAGACAGAAATTTTTATACTTACAATAGGAGAATTACACTTATTACTAGAACTAATATTGGATGTATCAGTAGTACATTGCATAGAACTAGAATCAATACTAGTGTTAAGCAATGATGACCATTATTAACTACATGCAACTGTTCTTTATCAGTAACAAGACCTAATGAACAAGACAAATTTAGAGGAAATTGTTCAAATAGTGCAAGGGTGTAGCCGTAGCAGTAAGTGCCAGGTTGTGATGAGAGGTAGAACAAGTTTGAGTACGTAAAGTTGGTGGAGACTTGACATAGGGTATGTTAAGCTGATACAGTCCTCCTTTAAGACCCCTGAAGTAAAAGAGCTCTTGTGAACTTGTCCTTGACAACCAGGTTAGCATCAAATTCCACAATCACATGTTATCTTTTGAAATTTGAGATGCTAAGAAGGTTTTTGGTGATCTTAGGTACACAAGAATTTTTAAGATGCAAACATTTAGTGTGTAAACTACTAGAAAAGGAAGTAGACCAGTATGAGAGATTGAGAGAAACTCACCACTACCTACTTGAAGCTGATCCACCCCATCATAATTCTTGTTGAGATGTAGATTATTTAGGTCTGAAGTGACGTGGTCAGTTGCCCCCGAATCCATGTACCATACTGGATCAGTGGGTGTGAGAGATGTAGCAAGGGCAATAGGTTGAATCTGCTGTGGAAGAGAGTTATAGGCAGAAGCAGGTGATGCTTGTCCACTGTTATGCAGATTGGTAGCAGCAAAATGTGCCTGATTGTGACCTGACAGCTGTTGACTTGGTACACTGAATTCTCCTGAAGGATTAGTTTTACCACTTGTAATACCAGAACCTGAATTGAAGTTCAAAGGGGCAAAGCCATGACTATGATATGGTCTGTACAGATTTCCTCCATGTTGTTGCTGGTTTGTAAAAAATTGTGATTCAACACCAATACCAGCTGATGACTGAGCATCATTATAGTAAACTCCATTGTGAGGTTGAGGAGGTGATTCAATATAATATGAGCCATGTTGTTGAGGTGAAGGAGGTATATTAGTTTGTAAAGTTCCATTATATGCGGAGTTGAATCGATGATAGCATTGGACAGCTGAATGTCCAGCTTTGTTGCAAACTTGGCAGATAAGTCTGCTTTGTCTAGTACTTCTGCCTCTACCTCTTCCATAAGGCACAAAGTTAGAGGCTAGAGGTCTAGCGTGATACTCTGGTTGGCCATAAGAGTTATAGTTTTGTAAGGGAGGCATAGAGTAAGATTGAGGATAGTGTGGATTTCCCAGGGATATCAAAGAAGGTACAGGTGGAGTAGGATTGTAGACTGTTTCAGATATCTTTTCAGAATGGCGAGCTGCTAAACCATTTTTGTTTGAACCTTCATGCCTTATATCATTATTAACTGGACCTCTAGATGGAGCTACATTAGCTATATTGGCTGAGCAATTGTACAAGTCAACTGTATTAAATTTTTCAAGCCTAAGTTCATACTTCTGCAATACAAACTGTGCTTCCTGTAATGTGACAGTATCAATTTTGGATTCAAGTCTGGAAGTCAAATTTACCACAACTGCATCAAATTCGGGTCCCAAACCATCCAATACATACTGCAGTAAGTCTTCGCTAGAAACAACTAACCCACTGGCTGATAAACTTTCAGCAATCTCCTTCATTTTTTTAACATAATCTGCTATACTAAGGTTCCCTTTGGATGTTGTTTGAAGTAAATTCTTAAGGTGTAAGGCTCTTGCTTTAGAATCTGTGATGAATTCATGTTCTANCAACAATTAATTCTAATAGACAGTTTAATTAATTATTAAAAAAACTAAACTAATTACCTGGTTAAATAGGTGATAAAATCCCACAGCGCATTGAAGAATACCATGAATGAGAGTTCTAGTTGGTTCTTCGGCGCTGTACCATAGAGCTTCAAGAGAATCATGACATTCATAGTAAGCCCTCTTGTTGAAAAGTGCAACTGCTTCATCGACGCTAGAGTTTGAGTTTTCATCATCATTTTCATCATCAACGGAGAAACGATAAAAGAGATGAAAGAACTTGGAATTGACGGTGTAGATTGAGGAAGGTTTGTTATTGAGCTTTAAAGATTGTGAATAATTAGACCGTAGAAGGAAGAGTGAAGTTGTCGATGGAGGAAAACAAAGTGAGGAGAGAGTAAGAAATTTGAGAGCAAGTGCCATAGTTGTGTTGTGTAGTCGAATGGAGTCGTATGAAATATGAGATAATTTCAACCATATATCTTGTTGACCATACAATACAAAGGGTGCAGACTGCAGTTCTGTAAAACATAAAGGGTCACACAATAACTTGTCAATACGCTGTCGTTTTGAGTAAATTGTTTTAGATATTGCTTTGAGCTCAAACGAGCTACTGTACTAATTTCACTTTACTAATCTTCACTGATTCTCTCCTTTGTATATAAGAGAGATCTTCATTGTACATTCTTCAATTCAGCTTAATACAAATCAGTTTATCCATTTTGTTTTTGCTCTCTTAAATCTTCACATGGTATCAGAGCCACTAACTCGCGTCGATGACTGAGCATTCTGGTGTTGATAGTTCTGCAAAGAACGTGAATAAACTCTACAATCTGTCTGAGCTTCATTCGTCTATTGTTCCTTCAAGTCTTCAAGTAATAAATCTGAAGCTAACGAGGGACAATTACCGTGATAACTATCGATTCTGGCACTCACAAATTTTGTTCATAGTAGGAGCTCACGGATTGGAAGAGCATTTGACAGGTTTGATCCCCTGTCCTAAGCCTTTACTTACCTCGTCAATTGATATTTCAACTGAATCAGGAATAATTAGTTATAAAGAAACCCTAACTAAAGAAAAAATCAATCCTGAATATGTTGCTTGGAAACGCATTGATAAATTTCTTGTACCTGGTTACTTGCGTCAATATTCGAGTGTATGTTTAGCTGTGTATCTAAGTGTCAACTCTCTACCGATGTTTGGTTCACACTTGAAAATGAGTTCTTGTCAGATTCTAAAGCTAAGGCACTACACCTTAAAAACTTACTTCAAAATACTCAAAAAGGCAACCTTAGTGTTAGTGACTACATCAAGAAAATGAAAGGAATAGTTGAAAGTTTAGCATCCAGTGGACAAGTTGTTTCTGATGAAGATGTTCTTCAATATGTTCTAGATGGATTAGGTCTTGAATTTGATGCTGTTGTAGTCAATTTAACCTCCAGACTTGAGTCTAGGTTTGATTCTGTAAGTATTCAAGAAGCACAGTATCTTCTATAGAAATATGAGTTAAGACTAGAGAAATTCAACTCTATTGATTTTCCAACAAGTTCAGTAAATATAGCTGCAGTGAGTAATTCCAATAATTCTCACTTTAAACCTACTCATTCAAGCACTATTAATACTTCAGTTAGCTCTACTGGAAGTCCAACTTCTCTCACAGAGTTTACACCTTCCCTATGTAAAATAAGATGTTGAAACCAGATTGGGAGAAAAACAAAAAAGGAGTAGTAACGATTGTAAAACTGAATCTGTTTTAATTGACTAACTAACTGCAGAGTGAGTACACGCAATTGGTTTTATACAGAGATGATGAGCAGTAGCTTTTGCTTACTGTTTTACAAGACAAAGATAAGCAAAACGATGACGTTCTGCAAAGTTCTTTTAATGATTTTGAAACGGCAGCGTACAAGCCTTCTTTAATTTGAGACTCACTGAAACCGGTAGTAAGCATCTTTGAGACCTCCCTTGCTTGACTCTTATAGTCAACACTCTTCCTCAAACTGAACTCCTTGTAATCTAGGAGCACCAAATCATTTTTCAACACAACACCCTAAACATTTTATCTAATCCCTCTTAGACGCAACATTATCCTCTAGGAGCTACCATTCCCACTGAACAAACTGTTTCACATTATACTCCTTCCCAAACCTACTATAATCCTTTAGTACCTACCCACAGACCTGCTGTTTTTCACAATACTGGCAGAGGTCATGGTAGGAGTAATGGCAGAGAAAGGCCAATATGCCAAGTCTGCAGCAAGATTGGTCATACTGCATTGAAATGTTACCACAGGTATAACTCCAATTACAATGGGACCTCACCTCAATACAATTCTTCCCTACAAAAAATAGGTGCTCTATCATATGTCACCCCTGGTTCTCAAGTTCCTGTCACTTCTGGGCACAATTATGTTAATAGTCCCACTAGTAGCATCCTACCACAACAATCTATCCAGTCCTCCCATTCACATGAAGGATCACAATACCAAGGACAGTTTGCTGAAATCTCTCATCAACCACAACCACAACCCTTAACAATTTCACAACAAGGATTCCAAGTACCCAGCAAATAGCAACAAACACCCAACCAAGCCTACCTAGCTTCTCATTAGAACATACAACAACAAACACCTACCCAAGCCTACCTAGCTTCTCATCAGACCATACTTGTCAACTCCCATTCATCATCCTTCATTCCTGGTGGTGCCTCTATCTCATTAGATCCTACCTGGTATATGGATTCTAGTGCTACCAACCATGTCACTGTAGATCTTAGTTAGTTGAATGTGAGCAGAAATTATGGTGGAATTAAACAATTACAAGTAGGCAGTTGTGAGTTTCTTGATATATCCCATGTTGGCTTTGCTTCTTTACCTAGTTTTCTACAAGATAAATGTCTACATCTAAAAAACATTTTGTGTGTACCAAGAATTACTAAAAACTTTCTTAGTATATCCAAATTTACTAAAGACAATAATGTTATGGTTGAATTTAACTCTGACTGTTGCATTGTTAAGGACAAGGTTTCTAGAGCAGTTTTACAATAGGGAGAACTTAATGCTGGGCTATATCAATTGAGACTTCCATTTGTCAGTTCTTAGGACACTTTAGCTCAGTCTTCTATTCCTCTTAATGCACAAAGCTTAGTTTCTGTCACCAGTCACAAACCTCAAAATCAAAATTGTTTTGCTAGTGTTACTGCCATTGATTCTCATAAGTCTGTATCTACCTTAAGAGATAAGATCCCACACAAGAGTCTTAGTGAATTGCAAACTAGTGTCAGTCCTTCTACTGTTAATGTTGATAATAAATACATAGAGTCAGTTCTAGATGGTTGTAATGTTCCTTCAATAAATAAAACATTTCTATTTCTGATTACTGTTTATCTAANGTCGACAGCACTTGTGAGCTCCAAAAACGGTAGTTATTTCTTGTAAGCTTTGGGTTTATGACTTGTAAGTTTGAAGCAAGAGCTGAAGTCGTTCTAGTGGAAGCTTCCTTCAACATATCTTCAACGCCTTTAATCGATGAAGAGGTATTAGAAATTTTCACCATTGACGCAAGTCAAGGGCTCTGATACCATGTAAAATAAGATGTTGAAACCAGATTGGGAGAAAAACAAAAAAGGAGTAGTAACGATTGTAAAACTGAATCTGTTTTAATTGACTAACTAACTACAGAGTGAGTACACGCAATTGATTTTATATAGAGATGATGAGCAGTAGCTTTTGCTTACTGTTTTACAAGACAAAGATAAGCAAAACGATGACGTTCTGCAAAGTTCTTTTAATGATTTTGAAACGGCAGCGTACAAGCCTTCTTTAATTTGAGACTCACTGAAACCGGTAGTAAGCATCTTTGAGACTTCTCTTGCTTGACTCTTATAGTCAACACTCTTCCTCAAACTGAACTCCTTGTAATCTAGGAGCACCAAATCATTTTTCAACACAACACCCTAAACATTTTATCTAATCCCTCTTAGACGCAACATTATCCTCTAGGAGCTACCATTCCCACTGAACAAACTGTTTCACATTATACTCCTTCCCAAACCTACTATAATCCTTTAGTACCTACCCACAGACCTGCTGTTTTTCACAATACTGGCAGAGGTCATGGTAGGAGTAATGGCAGAGAAAGGCCAATATGCCAAGTCTGCAGCAAGATTGGTCATACTGCATTGAAATGTTACCACAGGTATAACTCCAATTACAATGGGACCTCACCTCAATACAATTCTTCCCTACAAAAAATAGGTGCTCTATCATATGTCACCCCTGGTTCTCAAGTTCCTGTCACTTCTGGGCACAATTATGTTAATAGTCCCACTAGTAGCATCCTACCACAACAATCTATCCAGTCCTCCCATTCACATGAAGGATCACAATACCAAGGACAGTTTGCTGAAATCTCTCATCAACCACAACCACAACCCTTAACAATTTCACAACAAGGATTCCAAGTACCCAGCAAATAGCAACAAACACCCAACCAAGCCTACCTAGCTTCTCATTAGAACATACAACAACAAACACCTACCCAAGCCTACCTAGCTTCTCATCAGACCATACTTGTCAACTCCCATTCATCATCCTTCATTCCTGGTGGTGCCTCTATCTCATTAGATCCTACCTGGTATATGGATTCTAGTGCTACCAACCATGTCACTGTAGATCTTAGTTAGTTGAATGTGAGCAGAAATTATGGTGGAATTAAACAATTACAAGTAGGCAGTTGTGAGTTTCTTGATATATCCCATGTTGGCTTTGCTTCTTTACCTAGTTTTCTACAAGATAAATGTCTACATCTAAAAAACATTTTGTGTGTACCAAGAATTACTAAAAACTTTCTTAGTATATCCAAATTTACTAAAGACAATAATGTTATGGTTGAATTTAACTCTGACTGTTGCATTGTTAAGGACAAGGTTTCTAGAGCAGTTTTACAATAGGGAGAACTTAATGCTGGGCTATATCAATTGAGACTTCCATTTGTCAGTTCTTAGGACACTTTAGCTCAGTCTTCTATTCCTCTTAATGCACAAAGCTTAGTTTCTGTCACCAGTCACAAACCTCAAAATCAAAATTGTTTTGCTAGTGTTACTGCCATTGATTCTCATAAGTCTGTATCTACCTTAAGAGATAAGATCCCACACAAGAGTCTTAGTGAATTGCAAACTAGTGTCAGTCCTTCTACTGTTAATGTTGATAATAAATACATAGAGTCAGTTCTAGATGGTTGTAATGTTCCTTCAATAAATAAAACATTTCTATTTCTGATTACTGTTTATCTAATAATATTGTTTCTAATTTGTGCAATATGATTGATCATATCAATGAAACTTCTACTGTTGATCTTGTTAGCAATACTAATGGTATTTATTCTAATGATAATAGTCATACTATTGATAATACTCCTAATAG